TATGATGTCATGTGTCAGTATTGCCCAGGTGGGGAGATTTCTGCGCACTAGGGCTGCTTCCTGGTCAACAGCAATGTCCCTTATGGCCAACAGGGCATTGAAATCTGTGTCTCTCCTAATATCATCTTGTTTTGCAATGAGGTAATGTTTGAGTACAGGAGGGGCTCCCTTGATTAACAGCTTTAGCATGTCATGGTCCACAGTTGCTGATATGGGAACATTAAGAGGGCTGTGGTCATGCATGGCCTGGATATAGGCAGCTTGTGTAATACCTGTGGAGAGCTCGCTCAAGGATCTAATGGGTATTGACAGAGGCTTTCCTCTCTCCGATAGATCTATTCTGCCAGCACAGTGTGCCCACCTACTTGTTATCAAGTGGGGATTGCTTCGGGGTTCGGGGCCAGGTTTTATAATGGGTCTGGCTTCATATAGAGGAGGATTTGGAAAGGACAATAATTTTCTTTTGGTTTGCTATTATCGGGGTCACCCCATATGTTTCCGTCCCATTCTTCAGGGTATACAATTAATTTCCTAATCTGTACAATCTCAGGAGGACTGGGAGCCCACATAAGCATCATTTCAACCCTTTCTACCAAGTTCTGGTTTTCCTTCCTTTTTTGTTGTACCTGTTCTTGCAGCTGTTCAATTCGTAGGGATAGTAGTAACTCAGCTGCCTTCCTGCTTTCTATCTGTGCCTTTAGGTATTGTTCCCTGTTATCTCTTTCCTTCTTATCTTGGCATGCAGCTTCTAAGCAGGTGCCTAGCATTTTGCAAGTAATTCCTTTTCCATTTCCATCTTTTTTTGAGTCCTAGCCACCCGTAGCTACTTTTCCACAGCTTCCCAGTCATGCCAGTTGTCACAAGCCCATTCATTTGAGAATTTGGGAAGTGGATTTGTTCCATTTTGTTGTAAGTAATCAGTGGTACTATCTGCCAGCTACACCAAATTGTCGCAAATGAGTGGCTAGGTCGCTTAAAGAATCACCATCAAAGGTATTTGCAAGAAAAAATTTACTAAAAATTTATAAAATGTGGTTTTAAGAAGTTCATTGGCAAGGTTCAATCTGTTACTTGTCAAACGAATGGAATACAAAATTGAGGTAGGTTTGAGGTAGAATGGTTTATACAGAGATTGAAGAAAGATGTAAGGGGTAAGGGCGACCTCCCGCTGAGTCACGAGGTTCGGAATGGACCCCCTTGCTTTCTAAAATCCTTCTCAGAGAGGAGCCCGGGTGCGGCTGGATCCAGACTTAGCCTCAGACCACAATGGTTCCTGTCTAAGTGAATTCAAGCAATTCAAGGTGTGTTCACAGTGAGAGAGGGAGAGGAAATCACAGAAATTTAGCAGCAATTAATCACTGGTTAATTTAACATTTACAGAGTGATTAAAAAGATTAATTACAGTCACAGTAATAAGATATTTTGCTTTGAATTGATTCTCACACAGATAGACAGACAATATGCATAGATAAAAATTCCCTTCGAGCTCAGTGAAATACTCACTTCAAATCAAATGACTTTCTCAGTGGGCGAAAGGTCGAGCCCAAAGGAGTGAGGGATCCCTATAGCTCAGCCCGGGTAACCTCAAACTTGAGATTCGAAGTGCTCTGAGAGTTGTCCCACGCAGAGGGAGATGCTGAGCCCAGCCCACTGCAGTCCAGGAGAGCTCAGAGAGCCTCACTTGGGACCACTGTTCACAGGGTCTCAAGATGACTGGCTTTACGCATCAGTAAATCTCCATCCTGGCCACAATCTGTATTATATATTTCTGGTATCTTGGCAGTAACCGTGCAATTCCCGTACTTCCCAGACTGTACAGTTCTGACATTTACCAGGCGGGTGCGATCCCGGCAGCAGGAGTTCCAGGTGTGGTCAGGGAGTGCCTGGTGGGGCCCAACTCGCTGCTGTTGTGCAAAGACAAGAAAAGTGCCAAGTTGTCACATCTCACTGCTCTCGCTCAAAGGCAAGAAAAAGGGCCAGTCACGCCAGCTACCTGCTCTTGTAGTACAAGCAAGAATACAGTGTTGGCTAGTCCTGAGATTGGTGACAGGCTAGCTTACTGAGACCCTCTCAAGCTTTTTTTTTTTTAAGTCCAGCAATTGGTGTCTGTTCATCAACTGTAGCCCTAGTTAAAAATACAGTTCAGCCGGCCTTGCTGACTTGGGCTTCCTTTTAGTGGTGCTGTTGGAGCTAAGAGCAAGGAAGCAATGACAGTGGTCACTTGAGCTGCAGCAATGCCTAGAATGTCTTCTACGTTTTGTGTTGCATTTGATGAAGACTTTATTTGAAACTTACATAAGCCCTTTGTCAAGCAAGAATTGCTTAAGAAGAGATGTTGCGTTGACTGGAGAAAGAATTTTGGCTGACTTCAGGATTTAGGCCATGTACAAGTGATACACGCTTATTACAGATTTTCTGGTAGCCCAAAAAAAAAGAGAGAGTCAGCATGTGGTTAAAGTCACAAAGAAGCATCTGCTGGTGCAGCGGCAAAATACGAAAGATCAAGGTGCTTCTACTTCTAACTGTTAAGACCTAAAGAAATATTAGAATTATAGGTTAACTTAATTGAAAGGGACCTCTGGAAGTCCTCTTGTCTAACCTCCTGCTCAAAGCTGTCCGGTCAAGGTTTGAATATCTCCAAGGACAGAGACTCTCTCTGGGCAGCCTTCCTCCGTGTCTGAGCAGACCATCCTCATGGTGATGCCTACTTGGAATTTCCTGAGTTGTGGCTTGTCCGCTTTGCATCTCATCCAGTGTTTCATCAGTAGCTCCGCTACTTATGCTAGTGACTTGAGCATTTTTCAATAACATGAGAAAAAGAGAGGAGAAGACATGTTGCTTGACTAAAATTTCTTCTATGCCGAAAGTGTTGTTAGAAGGGTGTCATGCTCAAGTATTCTTATTTATGAACTTGTCAAATTTTGAGACTTTATGTGAAAATATTCACTGGGACTTGTTACAAATTTTACATTGAAAATGGTAAATGACATGGTGGGATTATTGCAGGGAAGAGGCTTCTCCTTTCTGCCTTTTTTTTTTTCTTTTGGGGGCTTGTTTTGGAATTACGAAGTTTAGATAGTGCTGCTCATGCTGACCTGAGCTTCCAATATCTTATAGCCCATGAAACTTCCTTTGAGTTATAGACCTTTTTAGGCAGTGTGGTACTATCTTCACGCTGATATTTCAGGTTAGAGCTGAAATACTCTAGTGCTGAAACAAAGGCTTAGCTGGAAAAGGCTCTTCTAGAGGTAGAAAAGGAAAAATGGCTTCTGGTCATCTTCAATTTACACCCCTGGTTTTGTAATCTAGATTTCTACAATATGCTGTCACTTGCCTTATGTACAGCAATTGTTATTCCCATTGGTATTTTAGGAAAGCTGGGACACTTGTTCCCAAGTAGTCAAATACTAACCTGCTGTGGCAATGGCAACAGGCCTGTGTCGGTTAATAGAACATTATAGTTGAGAGTTGATGGATACCTTCCTATATTTGGCATTTGTTGCTAAATTAGCCTTTGTAGGCATGTTTCTTTCCAGAATGAAAGCTGCTAAGTGGTTGGTTTTGCATCCATGCCCTTTGTGCTTTGAAGTACTCCCTTCTTGCTGCTTCACCCCTACTTGTGTTCCGTGGTCTCTGCCTGTGATCAGCAGGGCATAGCCCTCTAATCTGTTGTGTCTTCAAGTCCTCTCATAGACTGTGACATGATGCAGTGATGCAGATCACACAGCTCAGGGTGGCTGCTTAGTTAAAACGGGTGCAGATGTGGCCAGCCTTACGCCGAGTGCTTTGTCAGAGATTATTTCCAGTATAAATGACGGGTTATTGCCTCTGTCGTAGCAAACACAGAGTAAATGGCTTATCTTGCTCTGAGCCCGTTGCAGGTATAGGGAAAATACATAAAATTTCCATAAGGTATTGGTGAAACTGTTACAGTTTTTCCCCTTTGTCCCTGAACAAAGCTAAATATTCTGGGGTGTTCCTTCGCGTTCTCCCCACTATCTTATCTTAATGCTCTTCACTAATAGGAATGTACACTGGTTTTTTTTATAGTTACTCTGATTAGCAGTGTTCTTTCCATGATTTCTTTCTCAGTGTCTTGAAAAATTTTGCTGGAAGTGCAGACCTTGCACAGTGATTTTTTTTTTTTTTAATGCTTTCTTTTTTTTCCAGTTATCTTTTGTCCAGCATTTAGTTGATGCACAAGTTGAAAAGCACTGTATTTGAAACACGTCCTCTCCTCCAGAACAGCTGTATCAACAAGAATTTGTGCTGTACATACAACCATGTAGTTGATTTAAGTAAGCATGTGAACATAGAACTGGAGTTCATAATTTCTAGTTAACCAGAAGGCACCAATTCATGCCTAAAATAATTATTGATAATGTTGAAGTGTGCATTGCCTATGTAGGCACAGATGTTCGTTTCATCTTGTTGTGTGTAAGCATTTGAATATTGGTATTGTGTACCTGAAAAATTGTGCAAAGCTGTGTCAGAAATTGTTGTTGTGCTAATGGCAGTGAAACTGCAACAGTGCAGGATGGGCAGCCCAGTAAATATCTGGGATGCTGTGTGGATTTAGATAGTCTGTTACTGAAGATGACAGTGCTGTGCCTAGCTTATATTTCATTTGCATTAATGAAGCTAGTTTTAGTCTGTGTGTATGTATGCATGCTGTAGTCATATGGTAAATTTAGTGCAGGTGCGATATAGTACAGGGGGTTCTGCTTTCTGCTAGTATTTGGTGGTTTTCTGCTTCTTCCCAGTCAAGGCTGATAACTTACAGATTCAGTCAGTTATAAGCCTAATGTAGGGCTATAAATAAGTCCTTAGCCCAAAATTAGAAAAACACTTCTAAGTAATGGTACAAGAAGCATCTGTTTATAGTCTTTTTTATAACTGTATATAGTGAAATGCATACCTTTCTCTGTTGCTTATTAAAAGATGCATAAGAACAGAAAGAGAAATTGAGATTTAAGTAACAAGTAAAACCATGGTTTTAGGACTCTTCTACAGAAAATGCAAGTTGGTTTCTAAGACGGAAGTTACCCATGACACCAAGCTCTTGTGCTTAATGTTGCCTAAGACTACACATCTCTGTGTTCCCACCGGACAACACATTTACCTCAAACAAATCATTGAAGGTAAGAAAAATGGGGAACGCAGCCATGGATATTTTAAGATAAATCCCTTTTCATAGTCTTGGGAGAATGCCAAGTCCGTGGCCACTGATTCCCTCGTTGTAGTTAGTCTCTGCTTCCAGGACCACAGTCAGTGCTTAATAATGAGCTAACTGGATTAATACTGCTGGAAAGCTAACTGTTGAGGAGGCTGGCATTTACTGCTGACCTTCTTGGCTTTTCTTTCAACTCTTCTTTTAAAACATTCTCTCTACAGAAGTACTGCTTTTCATCTTTGAAAGGGGGGTGGAAGCTTATTGTGTATGTGTTATGTATGATTAGTCAGTTCCTTTTAGTTTGCAGCTTTTTTGGCATGCAGAAGGTGATGTTGCAGTTTTGCTTTCTTTTTTTAGGGGTGCTTTTTAAAATGTGCATATTAATGGTTTTGCTGGTCACTGTACTGGCATTGTGCTATGCATGGTAGAGAGATTTCTCAGAAGAATTTTTAAATAACCTTTAGCTGCGAACTGTTTTGTCCTTTTCCTCCTCCCTACCCAAGTCTTTGCTAATGTCCAACTCTTACCATCTTTCTTTCTATCACTATACAATAGCTTTTTGAAATGATAGTGGAAGAAAATATAATTGTGCAGTACTAAAAAAATCAAGTTGTGGTACTTGAAATTAAATGCAAATGTTTAGATTTTCATGTTCTTTGGGGATGACTCTGGAGCTTTTCTTCCAGTGTTTTGAATTGCTAAATAGTATAGAAGTAACATACTGTACAGTGTCCTGGAGATTTTAATTGGAAGTGGAAGGCTACTGTAGTAAGAACTGGTGCAGTGGAAAGTAACATACTTTGTAAAAGCATGTGATGGTGTTATTTTTATGGGATATGCAGATAATAACCTGTTTACTTTTTGTTTATTTTGGTATTTATTTGCAGTAGATCTGCTAGATGAGAGTACTTCTCATACTGTTTCTGCTAACTTTTTGTCTTCTGTCTAGGGACAGAGGTAGTAAAACCGTACACACCTGTATTGCCTTTTTTGCCACTGGATTTCAAAGAACCATCTCACCGTGGTGGTGCACATATATATTTAATGATTAAAATTTATTCCTGTGGACTGTTCACACAGGCACTTGACCACCTGCAAATCGGTAAGTATGTGTTGGGTTTTTTTGTATTTGGTTGTGCAGCGATTGCTTTATCTTCTCAGATTCACTGCCTGGGTATTGTGATGTTCCTATTGTTTACCTGCTTATACTTTGGGACATATTTAAACCTTATTCTCCATGCCCCAAATGTTCCGGCTTATCCTCACTGTAACTGGGAGTTGTCCATTACGTAAAGATCTCCTAACTGATCTTCTGAATGTGCTCACGTTTAATTGTTCAAGTACGTCAAGTGTGTCACACATTATAGTTGATCACTTTGATTGTATATACTCTTAAAACAACTTCTTGTGCTTTTGAATGAAGAAAGCTAGGTCTGTTTTATTAGACTTAATATGCACTACCTTTTCTGTTTCAAATATGGAGGTAGGTTTTTTAACACTGACTTTGCAAATATTTGTATACTTATGTAGTGTAAAATCCATCAAGAGAAAACATTTTAATTGAACATCTGTTCTTTTTAACAAGAATGATCCTTGTGTGAAATGTATAGTACCTTTCTGAAAGGAAAATACAAAGATGAAGGCAATATGAAAGGGTCTTTAAAAAATCATAATACTAATTACCTTGTTTTTGTCTTGGTAATCTTTACCATTCTATTGTTTTTTTTATAAAGGCGACTATATTTCTGTCAGCAATCCTGAAGGTAACTTCAAGAAGTCACAGGTTCAAACTTCAGAAGATCTCTTTTTATTGGCAGCAGGCACAGGGTTCACACCAATGGTTAAACTGCTGAATTTTGCTCTGACTGAAGTTAGCTGCCTCCGGTATGTACACTTCTTATGATTTAACCCCAAGCTAAAGTAATCCATAGGAGGGTGAAATGGAATGGTCAAGCCTCAGAGTTAATAAAAAAGTTAGCAAGATAAAATACTGCAAAAGCATTTTTCTGGCGTGCTTTAGGGAAGAGTCTGTGAGAGTCTTGGGGAACTTACACATATTTGATTATTGGCTACCATCAACAAAATGGACTGATTTGCATTTTGGATTTTAGTAGTGATACATATGAGCGCACCGAGCAGAAAATCTGAGGGGGTTTTTAAACTAGCTCTGCATTTGAGCGCCTTTTTTAGTACTGAATTATTTCAGTGTAGCTACTGGTTTTTGGACTGAGGAGGTTTATGACTGTTTAGTTATGGCTTCTCTTTAATCTGTTAGAATAGCTAGCATAGTTTTATATTATTTTCAACTGCTAAGCAACAGTAACACATTTTTAACAGATGCGTTCCAGTTTTCACAAAAGTGTAGCATTAAGTATATTCAAATGCATAAAAAGGTGTGGATTGCATATGCATTCTGTACTCCACTTGTAAAATCTACAGAATGAAGCATTACTTGTTCTTGGCCAAGTGATGAGGTTGTTTTGGCCCCTCATGTCCTTCAGAACTCCAGAACTAGTACTTCTGCTCTATGTGATTGTCCATTTACAGCTATAAGAGAGTATACAATAAGTCAATTTTAAAAGGAAATGCAAAGAGTTCCTGTAGAGGCATACTTTGATAGAAGTGAGGTGTGCTTGCATTGCATTTAGCAAAAATCTTCCTGTAGAATCACACCTTGTAGAGGTTCTTAGCAGATTACGTTTTTGTCAATGTGAACAATTGTCATTTGTGAGAGTATAAAAATGAAAAAAATACCTCAACTGTATTTTCTCTAAGGCTGTTGCAAAGGTCAGTTCAACAGTCTTGGTACTGTTTTCCTGTACCTTTTGAATTTGGACTCTTGTAATGGAGATTAATTTCTAATACTGAGTTTTATTCAATATAAGCACGGGATGTTCTGGTTCATTATGTCCTCATGAAGCACATTTTGAAACAACATAGAGAGATTAATTGGACACTAGTCTTCATAGTGAAGTTAAAAAGGATGACAGGTACTGCAGAAACCTGTTTCTAGAAAAAGAATCTATATCCAGACGTTATTCTTCTATTGTTTATTGTTCAGCAATTACATATAATCCTATTTTATGGGCAGATAGACTATGTACTTGTTTGTCAAGTGGCTGGCTGGCTTTGTGAATCCCAAAGATAAACCTGTCACCTGACAAAATGCTTAGGAAGCAGTACTAAGTGAATTTGGAATAAATCCATTTTTTTTTTTCTTCTTGAGGATGAAACTGGTATGTCAGGTAAAGGTAGTTGGGATAATATGAAAGCAAAGCAGAGCATAGTAAAAGATGCAAATCTTGACATTTTGTCCATAACCAGAATAAGCAGAGTAGATAACATGGGTGAAAGAATACTACTGCACAGATAGTGTTTCTGTCTACTCTGTCCTTGAAAGATGACCAGAGTGGGTTATTTTAACCTTCTTCAGCACAATTTCTTGTGGGAGCTTAATGCTCATAGTTAGCTTAGAAAACAGATGTTGCTGCATCCTTATTAGTTGAAGTAAATGAATTTTTCCTTCTCGCTGTGGAAGCTTGTTAGGTGCTGGAATGACTTGAACTGGTACAGGTTCTGTTTATATGCAGGCACTTAAAGCTTCGTTTTTGTGACTGCTCTTGGCAACTTTGTCTCTTGGCCTTGTGTTTGTTCTTTAACCCGCACCTTCTCTTCTGGGGAAATATTACAAGAGTGTGTTTAATATATGTGTGTGTATAATACTGTTTATATACATGAGGTTATATGTGTATATAAACAATGTAAATATAATTTGCATAAAATAATCTTACTGTGAAAAGTAATGATTGCTGTAAACTTGGATTGCGCACGCTAGAGCACAAGTTGCAGAAAGTTGAGGAAGGATGTGAATAATGCCCGAGCTGTCGTGAGAGAGTGCAGGAGCAGCCTGTCTGTAGCGCTGGGCAAGTGCTGCCAAACCTCTGGGGCTGCGCTGCAAACGCTGGAGGATCCGCAGCTTTGCTAGGCAGCATTTGCTGTGATGTCACGGGCTTGGATCACTGGATTTCCATTCTTACTGTCTAGCCGAAGTCTCCCTGTTATCTTTTACATCTGTTATTTTTTGCGTACAGTAAATATGAAAAACAAATTCTTCTCTTCCTGTCTGCAGTATCCTTTTGTGCGTGGAGTCATAATGCTCTTCCTTCAGCCTTGTTTCTTCTATTGTAGGCCAAATTGTATTTGGCCAAAGTATTAATTTAAAAAGAATATCGGTCCTCTATGCTGTTTTTTACTTTTTAAGATGATATTTTTGTTCCTTTTTACTGGTGGTGTACAACTGCAATCAGGTGAATAGGTTTCTTGAAGAAGACTGGGGCACAAAAGCACTAAACACAAGGTAGAGGGCTAATGCTCTTCTCACGTAGGTATAGGATGCTTGTAGTCTATTCTTAATTCTCCTTGGTAGCTGTATCTTGTTTTGCCTCCAGCTTTGCATTCCTAAGTTACCATTCTGTTCTCATGTTCACTTTTAATATAGTGTCCCACTTTGATCATCATTCTTTTTTTGAAGGTGATTTTGTAACTTTTTCTACCTCGTCTTCTTCCTCTGTGTTAAAATCCTCTAAGGGTATCTTTAACTCTTCTCTCTGTACAGCTTTCCATGAGACCTTGCATAGCAGTTTTTTGAGTTTATTAAAATCTATATTCCTTGAAGTAGTTTCTAGTATGTTAAATTCTCCCTATTTCCTTCTAAAGGACTGATGAAGTTTCTCATTTGTTATCTAAACTTCTGTCATCATTCTCTCAACCAGCTCTTCTGTACTGGTGGGGATCAATTCTAAATCTCCACCTCCTCCTTTTAGCTGTTTTCTCCTTCATTTCTAGCAAAACTGTTCCCAGTTGATTCCAAGTTTTGGGGTTTTCTGTTCTCTTTATAGTGCTGAGTACTGAGCCCAGTGCTGCAGCAGATCTATTTATCTACACTCAGAGTATCAGTAAGGGTGTCTCAAAGCATTATTCTCCAGATAACCAATTTCTACCTTTGTGCCCAATGAACAAAATGCATGGCTTTCCTATGCACTTTTTATTGACTTTTTTCCCCACCTGAGTAACACTTGAAGCTCTGGTGCACCATGCCAGCTTTGACAGCACTATATTCTTGAAGTGAGCTTTATTTCCTATATTTTCAGAGAAGTGTGCCCTGGGAAGCATGTAAGGAACCTAGATTTCTGGCACATGCTAGCTTCTGATTTTAGTGTTTAATATTCAAAGATGCAGCATAGCTGATTTGGGGCTGTTTTGTTTTATACTAGGCAAGTTTTCCAAAGCTTGTCGTTTTAACTTGTTTTGAGTTATAATGCATCTAGAACTTCTTTCTCTCAACAACACTACTGATGATACGTATTATGTATAAAGGTCATACTTTAGCTTCATATTTTGGCAGCAGAAAATGAACGTGCTTCTCATAAGTAGAAGATGATCTCTTATCTTTGGCATGTGATGTAGCTTGTAAGAGATTTCCTGGTGTCTTGAAGTGCTACCAAACTGCAAAAGGGGAAGAGGTTAGAAGTCATAAAAATGTGGTATCTTCAGACTGGGAGAACATAGGCTTTTAAATTGCAGTTGAAGAACAGCTGGAGGTCATCCACTCTCCACAGAAGCCCTAGCATATGTGATGCGCATCTGTGAAAGATGGCTCTCTGCAAGGTACAGAGGAGGAGGTGATGGGAATTACAGTTTCAGCACAGCATCGTGTAAACATACTGTGTCCAGCACTAGTCTCTTAGAAGCAAGGTTGGCCGCATGTGAAAGGGACACTGGATTAGCAGAGTGCCATGTGATGGACCTGGAATTGCAGGGCTGTGTGGTTTGTGGGACCAGCAGGGTTAGCTCAGCCTCGGTGGTGACTCTGATGGGTACCCGTGTGGTTCTGTGTGTGTTTCTGTGCCAGGTATCCCAGTGCTCCGGCTCCCTGCAAGTGGGGCACTGGACTTGCTGCTTCTGGCGCTACAGCCACACATTCCCTCCGCTGAGAGCTGTGCATGACTAGAAAAAACAAAGGTCCCTTAAAGCCCTGTGGGGTGCAGCACAGGAACTGCTTGCATTTAACAGCACATCATCTGTCTTGTATCAGTTGTCGCCAGGGTATTAGTCTGTCATTAGCAATAAAAGAGAAGTTAGGTTTGTGTAGCTTCACCAGATCGTAAATTCTGTTTCGTAAAGTCAGGCTTTTTGTGTTTTACCTCCACTGTAGCATAAAAATCTGAAGAGATAATGGCACTGATCTTAATGACAGAACATTTATTTTTATGTGAACTATCTGGCAAATATAATGCTTGTAAATAATAGTTTTCTAGGTAAATACATTTTATAAATCAACAAATAAAGTAGGAATAATATAACCTGGTACAGAGCTGTAGTTCACTCTTCAAGTTATGAGGTAATTTGCTCTTATTCTGTGTGTTTAGATTTCATCTTTATGAAATTAATATTGACATAACCTTCTTGACATTTCAGTTTCACCTGTACGAGCTGGTGTGTGTAATATTAAAAAGGTGTACTGAGTTCATATACCGGCTATTAATTGAAGTAGTAGTGTTCAAACAATATTGAGAAACCACTAGATAAAACTTGACTAGCTATATTGTAATTTTGGTCAGGTCTTAGTAACTTCAAGAGACTTTATTTTTCTTAGGACAGCAGTTCCTGAAATAGAGGTTGCAACTGCAAACAGGGTTATGACATTTAGAAGTGAGGTCACAAGTCCAACAGATTTTCAGGTACAGCAAGAAACAAGCTATATTGGGTTAGTGGCAAAAAGATTTGAGGATTGCAGAGTTGCAAAAAAACAAACAAATGATGTAAGTAAAAGGCTTCTGTATAATGCAGCAAGTTCTGATTCTGTAACGTGTTTCAAATACAGAAACAATCTGCAAAGTTTTTTTTTTTTTTTTTTTTTAAGGACAGTGACGCTGATCTTCTTCAACAAAACAGAAGATGACATACTTTGGAGAAACGAGCTAGAGCAATTAGCTCTTAAAGATGAAAGGTATTTAAAAGTCTCATGGAGAACAACTTGTAGCATCCCAGCATATAGGAGAACAAGTCTTGGGACTTAAACTAACTGTACAGCTTTGGCACAAAGACAGATCCTGATTCTGGAAATGTTAGCTAAGAATTTAATGAGACCTAGAGAGTGGAAGGAGATGTGCTTATATTGGTCATAGATGCATAGCAGCAGGCTATGTCATTATGTTCTGTAGGTCCCGTAGGAAACCAGGGGTTTGATCTGACAGGGTTTAATAGATGTTTATTGGAGACCATATGTTAGACGAGATGATTAAGACTGTCTGAGAAGCTTTTTGAAGGTGAAGAAAATTCGCCTTAGCAATGGAAAACAGAGATAGGCAAAGAGAAGAATATGAGTGGTCGAGAAGGATAGCGTACCCCGTGAGCAACATTCTGAATTTAGGGAAGTCTTGAAAAGTCTCTTTGCTGTCACTTAGTTGAAAAATACTTATCTAGAAATTCAAAGTCTAAATTAGACTCGGTTTTTGCATTTTTACTTACTGTTGCAATTTTTTCCTCAGTTACAATGTAATTGAGTATTAAAATGCAATAGTACACATGTAATGTCAGCTTGGTTTAGTAGGCCATAGTTATACCAGGAGACGTAGGAATATCAGGTTGTCTTTTAATTTCAGTACCCTTGCTTTTATCACTAGATAAATTGTCACTGCCTAGATTTTACATGATAGAAGTACGTTTTCTTTATGCTTACTTAATTCTTAGTCAAAATTGTATCAACAAATTGATTTCACTTTTTCCTTCGCAACATTGAAATGATACCGATTTTTCACTTCATAACCTGGTGATGTCTGGCGCATTCAAAGCTTCATAGTCTTGACATTGTGCAAATTTACAGTAAAAACTCTTTCTCCCTTTCAGTAGGAACCTCGGATACCTGCATGTTTGTGTTTTACTCAATAACTACTCTATTAGTGAGTTTTTGAAACCAGTTATAGTATTTTCTCGTTAATGAAATTGTACTGATGTTTTCACAAGTTTAAGCATTCTCATATCACTAGTTGTGTATTGAGCTACACCATCATTTGTGTGAGTGGGTAACGGAACAGTGAAGTCTGTCCTTTAGTATCTTCATAGGTAGCAGCTCTTTTTCTTTGTAAGGTGAAACGTACAGCTAAAATTTTTAAGATTGAAAGATTGGATTAAATAATTAAAACACAGTACTGGAGGTGATCCGATTGACTTGATTGATAGGAACAACTAAATGGCTGTGAGATCTGATACTGTGCAGTGGGAGCTGAGCAGAACAGGAGAGTAATCGTAGGAAACATCGGTGTCTCGGTCTGCATTTTGTGTAGCAGATTCCTAATCAGAGGCAGTATTTATGAAATATTCTTCTGCTTACCAGGTTTAAGGTTCGATTCATTCTTTCACAACCAACAAAGGACTGGGTGGGTAAACAGGGGAAGATTTCTTCAGCTCTTCTCTCTGAGTTTGTGAAAAGAAGCAGAAAAGACTCCAAAGTGCTTATCTGCATCTGTGGTCCAACACCTTTTACAGAGCAAGGAGTACAGTGAGTATTTTAAATGATGAACTAGAGAACAAGGGATTTCTCAAAATTTGATCACCTAACTAGCTGTAGTGTTTCTTAGTGTGTAGCTAAGTAAATATCAGCCATATGTAAATTTCATCAGCTCCAGTAAGTTGACCAAAAGTTGCTATGAGCATCTGTGGTGGTGCAGCCCACCCCCTCATACCTCGCAAACCTAGAACCAGCCAGCATTGTATTTGTGCTTGTACTGCAAGAGCAGGTAGCTGGCATGACAAGAGCAGTGAGCTGGGCCCATCAGGCACTCGCTGACCACACTTGGAACTCCTGCTGCTGGGGTCACACCCGCCTGGTAAATGTCAGAACTGTACAGTCTGGGAAGTACGGGAATTGCACGGTTACTGCCAAGATACCAGAAATATCTAATACAGATTGTGGCCAGGATGGAGATTTACTGATGCCTAAAGCCAGTCATCTTGAGACCCTGTGAACAGTGGTACCAAGTGAGGCCCTCTGAGCTCTCCTGGACCGCAGTGGGCTGTGCTCAGCATCTCCCTCTGAGTGGGACACCTCTCAGAGCTCTAACAATGACCTTTTTTTCCCCCCAGAGTTTTAAATACTGCTTTTAGTTTGATGTTCATAGAAAAGTTGCTACGATAGCAAATAAGCTTTCTGTGTTGGTGTCAGCTTCACAAATTAAGTTATAAAAATAAAATTCAAAGCAGTTGTTGTATGACAAGCACGTCTCTTGGGGTTTTTTAATTAATTAATTTATTTATATATGTACCTAATACTTTCCTTATTTTATATGCAGTATATATTTAATGATAAAAGCCCCTCTAACTTTCTCTTGCCCAGCTTCAAAAACATTTACTCAATATGGATATCACTTGCATTTCTGCAACCCTACTGCAGTCAGGTGCATGGATCTAATGGAGGGTGCAATTGGCCAAGAATTATGCTACCTCTTGAGAAATCTGAGATAATTCAAATGATACCTGTATTCATTTTTATAAATTTTTTTCAGTGTCTTAAAAGATCGTGTAGTGTACATATGAGCTATTTGGCATGAATTATTTTCTAAATGTATTTGCAAAGGTTAACTTCATTGTGCACGTCTGAATAGAAACAAGATGGTGGTGCTGAAGTTATGCTTCAGCTGTGTCTGTGGTGGGTATTGAGTTCCAAATACTAATATTACCAACTTGATTTCTGACTTTCAGATATCTGAAGGATCTTGGATACTCACAAGAAGAGATACACGCTTTTACTGCATAAACCCATATGAGGATATCAATGTTTGTTTGTGTAATTCAATTTTATTTATTTACCTTTGTGAATTTAAATAAGTGAGAAGCAATTTTGTAAGACTTGAAATTTCACTCTTGGTACCAAACTGTTTCTCGGAAGAAATATGTCTTTGAAAAAATTTTATACTGTGTTTTATCTTGTTTTTGTAAATATTTTTGCTAATACTTAAGTCATCCAGGGTATTAATTTATTCTATAGTATGCATTATGTAAGATATTTCATGTTGTTGGTTCATGAGAATTCTTACATTTATGACAAGCACTGATTTAGGTTTTGACTTGAAAAAGATTATTTTATTATTTCTTACTGTAAAAAGTCTTCAGAGCAATACTGTCAGAAATGAAATATTGCACTGTATCTCAGGTAACGGGGTAATTGAAAAATGTTCTTTTTCATCTGATATCTCTATTTGACTTGCAAGTGATCCGTATACATTTTTGGCTTTGTAAACAAAGAATAAAAGTACCTTTGGTAAAACAAAAAATTTACATGAAATAATAAAAAATCAATAATTTTATGTTACTGTATGCATTTTTGTATTTTTTTTTTAATTTTCAGTTTATAATGTCATACAGAAAGGTTTAATCAAGTTTAGGACACCAGCTGGGAACTCAGAACAGAGGCACAGAGTCTTGGTCTCTCATAAAATTTTCCAAGTGACCTCACTGATGTCAGGCATGCTTTGTCATGAGACATTCTGAGGGCAAAAACACGACAGCTTATGCCCTGCAGATACCAGAGTAAGGACCATAGAAGTACCTTAAAATATTTAATGGGTTGCAGCAGTATTAAATAAGGCTACTTGAATCAGTGGGGATTTTTACTCCGTTATTAAAAGTATGTTGTCATGACGCATTCATCTGCTGTCTGATAGTGGTTTGGAGAAAAAAGCGGCAAAGCAGCTACCCTCCCTCTAGATGTTGTCAGTAATATCTGTAGGCATTGTTTCGCGTGACTGCTAGCACTGTTTGCATCCTCCTGTTGTGCTGAAAGTGTATTTTTGCCTCCTAAGAAGCCAGACGTGGTTGTTGCATTTAATACTTCAGCATTCATGAAAAATCTTCAAAAAGGGCAAGAAGGAGGACCCAGGGAACTACAGGCCGGTCAGCCTCACCTCCATCCTGGGAAAGGTGATGGAGCAGCTTATCCTGGAGGTCATCAACACGCAAGTGGAGGAAAAGAAGGTTATCAGGAGTAGTCAGCATGGATTCACCAAGGGGAAATCATGCCTGACCAATCTGATAGCTTTCTACGATGATATGACTTGCCTGGGTAGATGAGGGGAGAGCAGTGGATGTTGTTTACCTAGACTTCAGCAAGGCTTTCAACACAGTCTCCCATAACATCCTGCTAGGGAAGCTCAGGAAGTGTGGGCTGGATGAGTGGACAGTGAGGTGGATAGAGAACTGGCTGAATGGCAGAACTCAGAGGGTTGTCATCAGCGGCACTGAGTCTAGTTGGAGGCCGGTAACTGGTGGTGTCCCCCAGGGGTCAGTACTGGGCCCAGCCTTGTTCAACTTCTTCATCAATGACCTGGATGAAGAGTTAGAGTGTACCCTCAGCAAGTTTGCTGATTACACCAAACTGGGAGGTGTGGTGGATACACCAGCAGGCTGTGCTGCCATTCAGCGTGACCTGGACAGGCTGGAAAG